GGAATCGGGGGGTGACAGCAGTTCGGTGATGAGAGAACGAGAGCGTTGAGAAGCTTCGCATTACCTGAAAGCAGGGTGAAGGGAATCGGGACAGGCACAAGAGAATGAAGGGATTAATGAGCGAAATATATCGTGTTGCAGATTCATAGGTCGGAGCTGCTGCATTAGAGACCTCACACAGGGTGAAATTCCTGTCTTACAGCCAGGCTGGCAGGCTGCCTGCTGGGGGAAGCTGTCATCTGCCATTGTTGATACAAGGGCTGGGTGCAACCTAAGCGTTGCCAGACTGAGTGGGAGCACTCTTTGAAATGCAGGTGGCATTTACTCTGCCTCTTCTCAAATAAGCCTTAAGCTCCTCCCTCCCCAGTGCTCAGAAACAGCAAGGAGTGAGACCCCAAAACCAGTATTGGTTGTAGGTAGATATGGCCCAGGCTCATTCTGTCTTATTGACTCTATGATTAATTTTTCTCCTGTTTAAAAATGAATTGTGATGGCAGTACACTTGGCAGCAGTAAATGTAATGTGGTTTGGCAATCAAGTATTTCGGGCTGTACAAATAAGGATGCCAAAAAGCAATCTATTAATAATTAAGTCTGAAGTCATAAATAACTAAACACTGCAGACACACAGTGTAAGGGAGTTTGACAGTACAAACTGTAATAGTTACTCAGTAATGTTGCTGCTGAGATCTCTGTCAGCTTTATAGCCTGGTGACAACATTCAACACTGGTTGAAAACCCAAACCAGAATCTTAAGCAAACTTCTGGCCTTCCCTGAGGAGCTGGTGTAGATATTGGCAATGAGACTTGGGGAGCAGAATTTAATAAGAGTTTGCTGCTAATCAGCTTAAGGATGGGCCAGAAGGGATGAAGAAATCCAACCTTTCAGTTGGGATACAAACAGCTGAATCAGCCATAATATTATCAACGGAAATGCAGGAACTTCAAAGTTTCAAAGATCCCAGCAGAGGTGCCAGAGAAATGGCAGAGATGTACATATGGCTAATGATCAAGTCATGGATAAGGAGAAATGAAGGTTGGCAGGAAGCAATAAATGCTGGTGAGAATTGCACAATGTTGTCAGTGCCCACAAAGGAGATAAGATTGGATTCAACCTAAAGGCGTCATTATATGCACTGCTGATTATCTCAGCTATTAATCTCCTAGTCCAGAAGTTTGGTTTGCAGGGCAGCTGTCAGTGGCTGAGCCCTGACTCAGAGCAGGTGAAGTGCTGTAAATGCACTAAGTGTTAGTAAGACAAGGGAGGGAGAGGATATAGAAACCAGTGACAGCTTTGGATCATGATCAAAAATGCCTTAACAATGTTTACTTTCCCTTAAAGAACATGAGGAAAATGAGGTTAGTTAAACAAATCACTGTGTTATAAAGTAACAATGCATTTTTGAGGTGAGACTTGCTAATATTTGCCTGGTGTCATTAACATTAAAATATTTCACTGATTTATACTGATCTAGAATCTATGTGAAATAAAGAGTGTGGGATTCTCCTTCAGAAAATGGGAATCAGAGTAGCTGACAGGGAAGAGGCTGTGCCATGGGTTAGAGAGAAATGAAGCCAAACCCTTTCTTTGAGAATAAGGAAGAATCAATCACTCATTTACTCACATGTGAAGCTGTACAGAGGTGAAATCACATGGCTCCAACATGTCCCAGAGCTAACAGAGCATTGGCAGTTTGTCAAGCTGGACTAGAAGTGTATTTTAGAGGAGCTCTCTTTGGAACAAATCTGCCCCAGCAGTGCTATAAAAGCAAAACAAACTAAGCTGCTTAACACTAAGGAACATCCTGTTATGGCTGCAGGCAAGATGAGGTCTGTTCATTCCATTTTCTGTGCTCAGATCTCCAACTTTAGCTTGATAGTTCTGGTAATAGATCAAAATTAGATCAAGTGTGTCATTTGGCAATATATCTTTTTATAACTGTGATATTTTTTCCCTACTTCCACTGTAAATACTCTGTAGCATGATAAAGCACCCGCTGCACTAATGGGAGGATTCAAACACCAGTGGCAGGAGGAGAGAGGTACATAAGGGATTTGCACAGCAGAGGGAAGAGAAATATTTAAGAAAAGGAGGAACATTCAGTGAAAACCATATACAAAATTAGCTTCTAAAATGACCTTACATTTCTAAACTAACTGCTTTTCAAATTCACATCATCTCAGTGAAGCCTTCTGGGAATATTTTTGGCCTGTTTGCCTCACATTTCAATTCAAAACCACTGCAACAAAAAGACTGAAAGGTGTATCTGAGTATCTCAATACTAGTGGTTGGTTTGTGTCCTGGCAGGATGACCTCCCTGATTCTCAGAGGGACATGACAGAATTGGCTGATCCATTTCCTCACTGGTTTTGGTTTATCACCTAAGACCTTGAGCTGAGACAGAGGAGATTCAGATTACATATTAGAAACAAGCTTTTCCTTGTCAGGTTGTTCAGGCACTGGATATTGCCCAGGGAGGTGGTGGGGGCACCATCCCTGGAGGTGTTTAAGAGGTGTCTGGACCTGGTGCTGGAGGATATGGTTTAGGGTTCCAGCAGTGACAGGTTAATGGCTGGACTTGATGATCTTAGAGGTCTCCTCCAACCTTGATGATTCTGTGTGTTGACATTACCAACTGGCACATAACTAGCAGTTTACACTGAGCTTAAGAACCAAACAGCTGTGCAAAAACTTCACCTCTTCTAGTAGTTGCTTTAACTGTTTGTCCTTTGGGTGTCTTTGATAGGAGTCACAGTAGCATAAAAGAGAATTCCCAATGGACAACAGCTGAGCACATTGGGACTCCAGAGAAAGATTCAGCAAGCTAGAGCCACGTTGGACTGGAACCATGTTAAACAAGCCAGTGCTGGCAGAGTCCCTGGTGGTGTTCGTCGTCGTGGTGTCGGTGCACGCGGTGGTGTGGGACAGGTACTCGTGGTGTGCCGTGGTGCTCGCCGTTCAGGCCTTCTACGTCCAGTTCAAATGGGACCGGCTGCTCCAGCTGGGAGGGGCTGTCTTCCAGTTCCGTGCAGCAGCCAACAGTGGCCTCCTGCCTGCCAGCATGGTCATCCCCTTGCTGGGGATTGTGATGAAGGAGAGGTGCAGAGCTGCTGGCATCGTCTACTTCGAGCGCTTTGGCATCGTGGTCGCCTCCTCGGGGATGCTGCTGGCTCTCTTCCTGTCGGTACTAGCAGTTGGCATCACCAAACCTGTGCCAACCAACACTTGCATACTTACTGGTATGGCTGGCAGTGTAATTATCTATACCATGAAACACTCTTTGACTGTCTCAGAAGTGATAGAGGTGCTAGAAGTGCTGCTCATTTTTGTCTACCTCAGTATGATCTTGCTGTACTTGTTGCCTCGGTGTTTCACTCCTGGAGAAGCTTTGCTGGTTCTTGGGGGTATAAGTTTTGTTCTCAATCAGCTCATTAAACGCTCACTGAACGTAGTTGAGGGCAGAGGTGATCCCATTGACTTCTTCCTGCTGGTAGCAGTTGTTGGAGTTGTTCTCCTTGGTCTTTTTTTCACTGTGCTCTTCATGTTCATGGATTCAGGCACATGGATCTCCTCCATGTTCTTCCACATGATGACAGCAGTGCTAGGCCTAGGGGTCATCATGCCTTGGCTGTACAGACTGATCCAGAGGAACCCTCTCTTCTGGCTGCTGCAGTTCCTGTTTCAGACACAGACAAGACTTTACCTTCTTGTGTACTGGACTTTCCTGGCAGCTTCAGCATGTGGTGTGGTTTTCTACCAGAATGCCAAGAGATCATCTGAATCTAAAAAACACCAGGCCTCAACCATAACCAGGAAATATTTCCACTTCATTGTTGTAGCCACATATGTTCCTGGACTCATTTATGACCGACAACTCCTCTATGTGGCTGCAGTGCTGTGTCTGGCAGTGTTTGTCTTCTTAGAGTATATTAGGTATTTCAGGATCAAACCATTTGGCCAAACCCTTAGGCAGTTGCTGTCTCTCTTCTTGGATGAAAGAGACAGTGGACCTCTAATCTTGACTCATATTTACCTCCTCCTTGGCATGTCCCTCCCAGTGTGGTTGTTCCCCAGATCCTGTGCTCCTAAAGGCTCCTTGTCTGGGGCAGGAGCACTGGTCCCCTACTCTGGGGTGCTGGCAGTAGGGGTAGGAGACACTATTGCCTCTGTTTTTGGCAGTAGCATGGGGGAAATCAAATGGCCAGGAACAAAGAAGACCTTTGAAGGGACCATGACAGCTATTTTTGCTCAGATCATTGCTGTAGCTCTCATCCTGATCTTTGACAGTAGTGTGAACCTGAACTCCAGCTATGCCTGGATTCTGGCATCTGTCAGTTTGGTTTCTCTTTTGGAAGCTTATACTACCCAAATTGATAACCTGTTGTTACCTCTCTACCTCCAAATCATGTTCATGGCATAGAAGCACTTCCAGAAACAGAGGTTTCTCCCTTCCTAGAGACAAGTGGTACTAGAAAATGCACTGAAATGAGAGCTCACAGCTCATCCACACACTGCTTTGGGTAGAGCAGAGAAAAGTGTTCAAAACAGAAATGAAAAAGACTTACTTTAAGTAAAGGTTTTGGTTTGGTCTTGGTTTTTTTCCCCCCTGTTGAAAACAGCTTGAATTATGTTCTCCCAGCAACAAACATGAGTGAGAAAAACAGCATTTGTGTTTAATAATCCAGTGTAAGTTTCTTCTGCCCAGAGGCAAAGGAAGCAGAGGAAGAAGAGGTAAGTCAATTAGAGGGGGAAGAAATAAACAATCAAACCTCTCAGTGTTGCCACCTCTGTATTGTACCTTGTTTTCTGTCCTGAGTCTTGTATTCCTGACCGTGTGACCTCTCATTTCTGCATGAGCACAATGTAAGGCATGTCTGACAACAAGGGTGGGCTCAGAGTGGCCACAGCTGTCCAGATGTGTCCAGTCCCCACCAGCAGGAGCCACAAACACCTTGTGATGCACAAACACAACCCAAACTCACTAAAAGCTGAGTTTATCCAGGGCAGGGGGGGAGGTTTGGGAATGTCAGACTGCTCATTCCAAACCCTACTAACTGACAAGAATGGTGCATTTCTAGCCCTGATGTTTCACTCAATAAGAAGACTGTTTCATCTTCCTCAAGATTTTCATCTCTAAATTGATTTGGAATGAATATGGGGGGGGAATTAAGCAAAGTCACAGCTAAACTAATTACACATCAATCCTGAAAGCAGAAAATCTGTTAAAGTCAATAAAATTTTCTATTACTATTGCAGTTTTCTACTTTTCACATTTTTTTTTTCAGCCAGAGGTTTAACCAAATAATTGATATAAATGCTTCCATCAACAAATTGAGTAAACCCATTGAACTCTGTCTGTGTAATTAAAATTACAGCTACTATTTTATGGCCAAAAAAACCCACCTCCTTTTTATGTATTAAACACTTCTGAACTGACAGTCACTTCTCACTGGTTTGCCAAGTGTCCATTAGAACAGAACACATTAGCATGAGTCCTCCTGCCTCTTCCCATCCCCAGAGACATGTCTAAGCAAGAGATTGGCATTCCAGGATTCTTGTTTGCACCATGAAGTTAACTCCTGACCCTTTTCTAATTCACTTTTGGGAACAGTTTGGGAGAGTCCAAAGTACCTTACGCAACACTGTGCTGCAGCCCTAGAGCTCTGGGACTGTCTGGGGGGTGAGAGTAAGACAGAGGTGGAGTGAAACCAGAGCTCTGGGTCAGCAGAGTGAGCTCCAGAATCCAACACTGTGTGTCCCTGCAACAAGCCAGGACTGGAGTAGCTGAGCATTGCCCAATTTCCCCCCTGCCTGAGCAGGGCTCCTGGGATTTGGTGCTGCTTCTCCTGAGGATGCCAAAGCTGGTTAATAATGTAAGAGACTGTCAGATACTCTCAGTAAGGAACCAAACTCGGTTCCTTCCTATTTGACATGAAATCCTCCCAGTCAATCCAGCTCTTTGCTTTAATTCATGTACTTGCCTAGATGGTTTTGCACATTGCAGGTAGTGGTGCATATAATCCGAGGACAAACTATCCCTCAGCACAGTGGTGCTATTCTAAATCATTAACTCCTCCCGTGGAAAGACATAGACAGAGCTCGAGCTGCTTCTGCCACGAGGCACAGCCTCCACCACTGATGGCATAAACAGCACCAGAGGTAAAGGAACTCACTTTCCCTCCTCCCTGCTCACAGCTTCCAAACAAACTGTGGAAAAGGCAGTTTCTGCAAGCAGAAACTTTGCATTCAATGTTGCTGCTGTTGCCATTACTCAGGTCCCTAATTCACACCCACCTGAGTGTTCCTCTACAATGAATTCTTTGCTAGGCTGAATCTCCTCTGCTTTGCCCAAAGGGCTGAAAGGAAACTCCTTCCCATAGAGAAACTAAATTGGACTATTTCACATCAAACAAGTGCCAGAGACAAGCAATACACAAGTCAGGAAGAACCAGGGCTCACTCTGCCATGGCTCAGAGCAGTCCTGAGGTTACTGCAGTGTAATCCATGTGTCAGTGACACCTCCTCATATCTCAGTGTTGCCACTGCCCCAGTGCTGGTGAAATCACACCTACACAGCTTCTGTTCTGTTCAGGACACAGGCTTGAGCTTGCCTCAGGTGTGATTTGTGTTTCTTAATATTCCTTGGGTTGCACCTTGCTCCAAGTTGGTTTCGGGGATAGAAATTGTTCTGTGCATATTGAGAGTTCAAACTGCTCCTCAGACAATTTAGCACTGAGCTTGTCTGTTGGGGGAAGGTCACACTGTGTCTTCCTCAAAGAAAAGATGATGGAGATGAAAAGGAGAATTTCTAGGGGTTTATTTAAGGGTTAGGAGTTGGATTGAGGTTCTTTGTTTTCATCATTTCAACATGAATCTTTGAAAGAAAGATTTGAAAGAAATGTCATATTTTGAATCAACACACCCAGAGATCAAACAGCTACAGTTTGCTAGGAATGCTTGGAAGATTGGTTATAACAGTAGAATTCCTGGTTCATTTTGCCCACAATGGGAATGTTTTAAATCACTGTTATTCCAACAGTAAGACAGAGATCTAAGGGTGAAGATCAGCCTTCTTCCCATGACACCATCACCTGCATTGCTAGGATCAACACAGCCAAGAAACGCACTAAACAAGAAGAAAACACCGAATATCTGCAAGATGTTTCATCTTTCAAGATGTTGCAGATACTCCTCAGCTGGTCCCAGTCAAGGTGCAATGGTCTTTACTGGTCTGTTCTCAAGCCTGAAGAAGGACTTGGTGACTTCTCACACTAGGAGGGCTCAGGCTGCAGCAGAAGGTTCTGCCTAGGGCAGGTGTGTTGGGCTGTGACAAGGTCCTTGTTCTGAGGAGAAAAATGAATCTCGAGAGATGACCTAGTGAAGGTTGTGCTTAGAGGGAACATGAACAATCAGAAAGGAATACTGATCAGCTATTGACTCCAGAAGTCAGTCACTAACTTCAAGTGTAGAGTGATGGAAAAGGCAGTTCAGGAGTTGGCTGGAGCCTAGGAAGTAAGGAAGAGGTAAAAACAAAACTTCAGAGGCTGTTCCAGTTGTACAGGTACAAAATCAACACTGACTGAGGTACCACCAACCTCAGTGTGACAGGCAAGACCACCAAGAACATCCTGGCTATTCTACTGGAGAGGCTCCAAGTTCCTCAGCTGCTTGAGAGAATTGTGACCTTACCAGTTCTCTTTGCTCCAGGTGGTGTCTTTGGCCTCCATCACATGGAAGGTGAACGCGTGGCGAGAAGACTCCGAGCTGTTCAGTTCACTTTTGTGGACAACTTCCCCATGGATGAGAATGAGTCCACCTGTGTGGAAGGAACACCTGTACTGCTGTTTTTGCAGTGGTGAGCAGCAGCTCTCAAATGGAAAGGGAGCTGCAAGGGCTAAATACAACTTCAGCTCCTTTGTGTTTTCTGGAGCTGTAAAGGGACACGACGGGGTTGGTTGTACCTTTACTGATAGGCAGAGGTATGAACTGGTTGTCATCATAATCCTTCTCTGACCCTACAAACTCTACACATGTTGAGGCACCTGAAGCTGCACGGACCATCCTCCGGGTGATTCCATCTGCAAATCCACAGAGTGAGCAAACACCCATGAGAAACCAAACATCTGGCTACATTCTGCAGGAACACGTAGGTGATTTCTCTTGGCAATGACAGGAACTTCATTATTATAGCAATTACTAATAAGGGTGGGGAGTTTTTTTCACAAAAGATTTAGTATTTTCCAGCTGTGGCAGAACCAGATAAACAACTGCCTTTTGTTTGCCTTTCTGGCCCCTTCTGGGCATTGCAACAGACCTTTAGGAACACAAACAGTCACACACTTAGGCAAAGCCAACCTTTGGTCCATTTGTCCTTTCTATAAGAGCATAAATCACAACCCAAGTGCAGCTGACTCCAGGATTTCTGGGGCATGAGTGAGTGCCTTAAAATCTGAATTGCACTATGAGTGCACTGAGTGAACACTTAGGTGAGCAGTAGTTATTAGTGCGCTCTAGAGCAAACCAGAACTGTGCTGGTCACACACACACACACACTTACTGGTGTGAGAGCCAGGGATGAACCACAAGCAGCCATTCTCCTGTGTGGCATCCTCCAGGGCTATCCAGAAGCCCAGGACCCTGCCCAGGGGCTCTGTGTGCAGGAACGTGGCATCCTGGTGTGGTGTCACTGCAAGGAGAGAGAGTTGTTGAGGTTTTTAAATGCCTGAGGAACTCAGCACCACCAGAAGGACTTCAGGCTTGCACCTCCCTGGCTCAGTGCCCTCCCCTGCCAACCATCTACCACACACATGAACTCTTGCAGTAAAACATCACCTTTTAACCTGCTGCAAATGTAGAAGCAGCAATTTGTTCAAGCTGCATATGATGTTGAAACGTCTCTGGAAATCATGGATGGTTTTTTGTCATTTTAGAAGGTTTGGACCACCAAACTCTCAGGCTTAAGTCTGGTTCTGAGCCTTGTTCCTGGTAATATTCCTTTCCTAAAGGAGCATTATCTGCACTGTGATATAGAGAGAACAGCAATCTCACCTTCACCTCCAATGCCAGGTTGCTGCAAGGAAAGAAAAGTGATGTGTGAAGAGAAGAGCTCCACAGCTTCCCACCTAATATCAAGTGACAAGACAACTTAAACTACTGTACCTTGAAGATATACATGCTTTGCACAACCACTGGTCTCACAAGGCCTAGTTTTCTTCCCAACTCCTGCAAGAAAACTTCCCAAGATTTATTTTTGCTGTTTTCTGCACACTATATAATGTTACTCCTTGAAGAGATTTAAATTTCCTTTCACTGACAAAATGATTATCCTTGGGAGTTTAGAAAACTAACATTAACTACTCTATATTTTTTTTTTATCCCAGACCATTCTAGGAAACAGGAACAACTCACCTGCACCTTGGAGGAGTGGGTGATTTGCTTGAAGACAGGATCATTAGCATGCAGAGCTAAGGGGGAAAAAAGGCTCTGACTGGAGATTTCA